ATGTCAGAAAAAAAAGATGTTTTCATAAATTCAAAATGTCAAGAACACATTTAACCACTTAGAGCAACTGAAATGCAGACGTACACAACATGAAAGTAGCGCAATTTGAAATACTCCTATAGGGAGGTTAATTCAAATATGACCGTCAGTACTTTTAACTGTTAGGCACCTCTTTTACCAACGTCACACCTGATATAAAGGTTGTCGCTAATCAGTAACTAAGCGAGCTGATTAGCGGAAATCTTTAGCACTGTTGTTTGTGTAACGCACAGTAGAGCATGAACGATAACATTCACTCCCTTTCCTCCGTTCCCACCAATTCTCTGGTTTTCCGTGGGTCAGCAGTAAGCGTAGCAAGTAAGTGAGGTCATTCCCTAGGCAGGCCTCGGGATATGCGCTAGGTGGTGGCTACAGTACCATACCGTATGCCACTCCAACTAAAGGTGCTCATCTGGAGAAAAATGACCGAAACTAGCTTCGGAGCACCTCGCTCACAGTACGCGGACTACAAAATAATTGAGGAGCAAGGCTGGGAGACAGGCCTCCTCTCATCATATTCCCTGCATAGTTCCCTACAGCTGCTACCTGGTCCGCCTCCTTAAAGCTTTCTTTGCTATGAAAACTTTCAACAACTTTGATGACACCAGTCGAGAGGCCGCTGACTTACTCTACTTGCAGCCTCCTCAATTCTGGGGAGAGGGAACGCTTACCTGCCCATTAGGTGGAGCACTGTAGTGGCTAACTATGACGAGTATATTGTTGACTAATTCCCACTGTATGTTGAGTTAGAAAATAAAAAGAAAAAAGTCACAACAGTGACAGACTTTCCTTCCAACCTATATCTCACGCGTAGGCTTGTACGTCTCTTGATTCAAGCAATTAATAAGGGCTCCATCTCGAGCGTTCACCGGTCGTTTACTTTATTGTCGTGGTATTTTGTGCCACTGCTCCCGTTTTCTGCAGGGAACCAAATTATTGTGCCCACTGCCTTTAATGTAATGAACATGACTTGATGACACTGGTTGTTCCAAATGCTTCAATATACTCGGAAACAGCGCACCATTCGTCCTGTTTTCTGCTCATGGCAGACAGCAGGACGAATGGTCCGCTGTTTCCGAGTATATTGAAGCATAGAGAGCCTTTGAACATTGAGTATATTGAAGCATAGAGAGCGGTATAGAGAGCCTTTGACGTAAAACTCTTTGATTTACGTCAAAAGCATCCTATACCCCATCGTCGGAAATCGTTTAGGCGTTGAAGGGGGGGGGTTCGCCTACTGCACACTGCTTTCAAAGGCAAATGTCGCCTTATAATATGATATGAGGCACGATGATGAGCACAACGGCGATCATGATTACTTTTTAGTTGCTTGCTGTCGAGCAAAAGGAGCGCCTTTTCCCCAGCGAATTCTTTAGAACTTTCAGAATTTCGAGAAGGAACTTGCTGGAGAGTACAAGGCTACATTTTATTCAGCCGATGGTGAAAACTCAGCAACATTTACAGTAGCTGCAGGAAGTGGGTATATTGATATTGTTTTTTGAACTACACAAAATTGCTCGTAACCTTTTTCAGATGCACCTGACTTCTATGACAAGCCACATATTGTTCAAAGAGACAACGGCAATGTAATTGTCATCAAAGTTCGAGCGAAATCGCACTTGGAGATGAAAGCCGAGTGGTTCAAGGTTAGATTCGCCAAATATTGTATAGCTCGACCTGTTATTCAATGTAACTTCTTTTTGGATTAGTTTGCCAGCAGATAATTAACTCGATGTCGTCAGCCTAGGAAAATAAGTTTCTCAAGAAGCAGGGCTGGCACTGAATGAAAGCTTGACATAGATCTTCAAGAACAATTGCAATATTTTTCTCTTGTGTGTTACAGTTCGCTGTGTGTTGTTGTTGGCTATATGTTGATCTTCACTCTAGCTCTATGAAGCTGCCTTTGACTATTATACATCTTCTGTTCCGCTATCATTTTGTCGATTTGTTCCTTAGCGCATTCTCCTTTCCTTTCTGTTGCCAACCCTAGCTACTTCATTTCTGCCCTGACCGTAGCAAGGTGTTCTTGTTGCATAAGCTACCCTTACCAGAAGAAATTTAATTGCCAACATTTCAATTGTATCCTGAGCGGTAACTTCAGCTTTTGTAATGACCGCTTTAGCCGCTTTATGTACTGCTTCCAAAACCCGTCTCCGAATGGTGGATCTCGGGATGGGGGAGGGGAGGGTTGACGGGTCTACCAAGCCGGCTGAACTATGTATTTCGCAGTTGAGTATCTCGAGCTAGAGGAGGCGATCTGCTCCCTGTGAGCAGTCCTCTATCTTTGGGCTCAAGTTATGGGCTTTTTTACTGATATTCTTTTTTCTGAAGGATTGATCGTTGTAGTGCGTTCAGCATTCACATAGTAGGGTCACTTTGTCCTTAATCCACCCATTCTCAGTCATTTAACACAACCGAAATTTCACCAGTGACAATACTTGTTGCAGTGAGTGATTTTTTACGCCCGCATAGGCTCGTACTTTCTGATCATGAATGGAACTCTTGTTTTTGCTATTTCAACTCAATCTCAATTGAATAGAATTCGATTTTCAGGACGACAAACCGGTAAGGTTTTCGGACCGTGTCAAAAGCGTCACAAAAAAGGACGACAAGGTGAGGCTAAAGTGTGTGCGCGCGTTCTTTTGATAAGCACACAAGACCTTTCCAGGACAAGGAAGGATACCAGTTCTTACTGGAAATTTATGGACCACAAAAGGAAGACGAAGCTAAATACAAGTGCGTAGTGAAGAATGCAGAAGGGACGAATCAGCAATCTCTTAACTTAGTTTTTGATTAGTGAACAAGTGCCACCTTCTCTTACTTGCTTGTATTTGCTTTTCATAAGACAGTGCTCTTTGTTTGTTATGTGCGTTGCTGAGGTATTTTAGTACAGCGGATCATGTGATTTGTGCTGTAAAAGTATTAGATTCAACTGATTCGCTACTGCTGATCAAGCTGATTGCTTACATCTGAGCAGAAGCTATAATGGCCCACATGGCCGCTGCAATCAAACAGGAAATGGTGTGCAACCTCCGTCGAACGTGAGATCGACTTCTTAAAAAATTACTTGAGGTGGTACCCTTTTCAGCACCTATCTTTCATAACTTTACAACAACTTTCTCCAAAGGCTAAGGACTTAACTAAAACTCTGCATCCCCATAGCTTGGCCCACTAACAAGGGAGGTCTTTCAGGTCGTGGCGCGCTTTTTGGAAATGGTTTGTTGCTTGTTGTAGGGGTCCATACAAGGATCACAAAAATGGGTTTCATTTTTGCTATGCGTTTCTGGGGAGGTCAAAAACTGAGTGAAAAGAATTTGACAAGAATGGGCGATTTTAACTATCTTAATGGGATCTGTTCTGATTGTAACTTCGAGCATGCACTGTTTATGAGGTGCTCGTTAACTGCGCTCCGAAAATAGTTTTTAAATAAAGTCAAAATGTAAGTATCATGTAGTAACACACTTGGCATGCACCGACGCAGCAGTGATGTTTTTGTCAGCGGTTTCCTCATGCTCACTGTTAATAATTAATGAGCACCTCATAAACTATGCATGCTCGAAGTTACAATCAGAACGGAGCCCATTAAGATAGTTAAAATCGCCCATTCTTGTCAAATTCTTTTCACTCAGTTTTTGACCTCCCCAGAAACGCATAGCAAAAATGAAACCCATTTTTGTGATCCTTGTATGGACCCCTACAACAAGCAACAAACCATTTCCAAAAAGCGCGCCACGACCTGAAAGACCCACTGATAGTCAGTCACACTCGCTTTGCCCGTCTGCCTAAGGAAACTTAGGTCTCTGAGCACTTAGTTTTTCTGCGCTTTTGTAGCTCACTCCGGCCCTACTTTGTGGATTTTCTTCTTTGGGTTTCTGGTTTCCGGGCTGGTGCGTGGCGAGGGGGGGGGGCTGGTGGGAGGGGCTTCTTCTGGCCTATGGTTGCTCATTTCCCGGACTCTTTTTCCCACCTCCACCCTTTTCCACCGATTCCATTTCGCATAGATGCACTGGGCTGTGCACTGTTATGCACACCTGGCCCGCATACGGTACAGCTGGGTCGGTGCACACGACCAACTATCCCTCATAAACTTACCTGGCTGGGGGCGTCTCGCGATCATGAAGGCGGGACCCCCATGGTGAGGCCTTTGCATTGCACTTTAGCTTAGGCTGACCTGTGTGGCAGCTTCGAATTGAGGTTCGCCAACAGCTAAATTTTTGTGTG